TTCATTGCTATGCTATGACAGCACTGGTGATGCTCTCATACACATACACCGGCCGTGGCAATATTTCTCGGGAAAACGTCGCCGAGTACCGGAACAAATTTGTGTCTGAAGTCGAGTCTTTGCTGAACAAAGTCTCGGATTGGGGGCGACTAAATCTAGTCCAGTTTAATCCTCAGAAGACACAAGTTTGCGCGTATACCACTAAAAAGAACTCCTTTGTCGTATCTTCTCAGTTTTAAGGCACTCCCCTTGTTGCCTCAGCTAGTAACGGAATCCTCAGCGTCGACATATCGAGAGACGTGCAGTTTCGTGGTTTTAAAAAGCTTGGGGTGCTCAGCAGAGCGGTGCATCCCTCTGCGTATTTTATCTCATCTACCACGGGGAGTGCTCTGAAGAATTGTTCGGACTAATTCCAGCCGCTCAATTTCACCATCGCACATCGCGACAAAACTCACGAAACCATCCATACCATCTTGATGATTGGCGGACCACCACTGTGCGATTTAGAAGAAGTTTTCTTCCTCAACTTCCTTGTGGAATCGATTACCACCAGCGATTTTTTCCAGACCGATACGAGTTAGGGACCTTCAAGAAAAGAGCCTACTCCTTTTTAAAAGGCCGGCAACGCATCTGCAATTCCCCTGGTGTTGCAGTTGTTCATGGGCTGCGGTAGTCACTTACCATCAGGAGAGCCGCATGCTCGTTTGCCCCCTCTCCTATAAAAATATATAAAAGAACACCTCACTGGATAGCTCTAAATTTATGCAATTTTTTATAACTTTTTTGAAATTTTCTATTTTTACGACTATCCGTAGGTTAATTTATTTCTTTCTTATCCAATTAATATAAAATATAACTAATATTTAAAAAGAAACATTAACCTTTACATTTACCTAACAAATTAATTTCCCCCGCTATGAAACCTGTCATATGTTTCACCTCATTCCTATTAAGCGGCGACGCCCTGGCGGTAGATAAAGTCGTTGTTTCAAAACCCCATCAGCTTTGGGAGAAGGTGGAACCTTTAACGCTGTCAATTAAGTTTTTCATGTTCAAAATGACGTTTGATAATTTTTTAATATATAATATGTCTATGTATTTACCTTTAGGACTAATATTCCAAACAAAAACGGGGGTGATCAGTTTCTTCACTTTCGCGCGGAAAACGGCTAATCTGGATAATAAGATGAATAAAAGTTAATATTTTATTGGATTAAGTAAATAAAACTGAGAGCAATATGAATCTACTTATATTAAATATTAAAGCTAACAAAACCAGCGCATTTTATGATATGTCGTATTGTATATTTCATATTATTTTAAGTTGTTTTCGGAACCTCATCGTGTTTATAAATATGTATTTTAATTTGTTATTTATCACGTGCTTGGCGGCGAAGGAAAACATCGTGAGGAAACCTTTATGTCTCTCTCACATTCATCAAACTCATTTCTAAAGCCTTAACTTTCACCTAGTGGGATGCGGGAAGTAAATACTGTGTAAGAACCTCCGAAGGAAGCGGAGTTATAGCCGAAATAAGAATTTAAAATTTTTGGTTTTTGGCCATTTTGACTCCCTAGGAGTGTAATGAGAACTTTTTGCCCCTATTCTACCATGACCCCCATGACATCTTCTACATGATAGGCTATTCCAACTGACTAGGCCTAAAGTTCGAGTCACCCCCCCCCCCCCCCAACTCTCAGAAATGGGAGGAGGCCTGTGCCCAGAAGTGGGACGTAAATAGGCTGTAACAAATTTGGGTGTTATATAAAAGGATGCTCCAAAATTGAATGAATATACCCACTATATAATGAAGATGCCACTGGTGGGTATACGCCTTAATCAATTGAGGGAGATTTGGTTTGAAGCCTCGAATGCTTACACCACTCTCCGTCTTGCGCCTACATAATTATACCTTATCTATTTGTCAGACTGCCTGTAAGTTATTTACTCTCCTAACGTCCTCCTCGAGTTTTCCTCTTAGTCGATTAAGTAACGTCATTGCAAAGTTTATAAGTAGAATTTACCTATGTGGAAGGCTATAATATCAGCAATTTACCTAATGTAATAAAAGGTTGAAAAATCATAAAGGGAATTCCGCAGATATATTCTTAACTTACTCGCTTTTCGTGGGTCCGGCCATCCTCATGACATGCGCTCTCATGCACCGGTAACTATGGGATGTAGCAATGTGTTTGCATCTGATAAAAACATATATTACAATTTTCCGTTAGACACTAGATTAATAACACAAAAGATAACTAGATTAATTAGCATAGATAACCTGCTACCCCATTACATCTCGTGAGTGCCGTAAAAGTCCATAGAATTAAACTTAAACAAGAGATGGGAAGCAGTATCTTAACGACAACAGTTGAAAATACCTTTTAATAAATTAAAAAAACCCGTTTGAGGAAATTTATGGAAGAGGCCTGTGTTCAGCAGTGGAATTTCGATGATAAGAATGAACGATCTATCACAGTTATTGAACTAAAATTAAAATGAAGGCCTCCTGTCATTTCTCAGAGGGTTTTCTAAGAAGAGGCCGCTACGTTGTCCCAATATATACTGCTGGACTTTACATGTCCTTTTTATTTTGTCAATAATTCATCCCAATGATCATCTTCACCACCAGCACGTACACCTAGTAAATCAGCACTTGATATTGCAATTAGCTGTTTGATGTGGAAGTGGTGTTTGCGGGTATCCATCGAACTTAGATTGCCCGCGTACCGACAAAGAAAATTTATAGTGCGGGCTCTTTTTTGAGCTATGGCTCCCTCATTAAAGGATTTGCAGTTCTAAAAATATAGGCCTAGTGGTCATAAGCGAAACTGCTGATCATATGGCACCGGGTTCAAATCCGGGCTAGCATTCCGGAGTCAGGAAGTTGACGGTGTTTTACCCTAGTGTCGTAATCCTGTCCTGCGCAGATGCATCGTCTCCGTGGAGACTGGCCGCCGTGACCAAAAAGACCTACTATTATTATTATTATTGCAACAGATGTTTAGCAGTTGACAAAGGGCACTCCCTCATTCTATATTATGATCCGACGTTACTTTTTATTTGGTAAGATCCGCGGAGACTAGGACACCTCTGTCAGAGATACGATTTTAATCACAATATAATCACACTTGAAACCGTTGTACCTGTAGTTTTACACAAATGTTAGCTCAAGCAGGATTCGAACTCAAGATAAATAATTTAATTACCTTATTTGTTTTGATGTTTTTGGCTTCAACCGTAACCTGAAATTGTTCGCCATTAGGATAATATAGTTTTAGCAGAATTATATAATGAACTCCATTATACACACGCTGAGTGCAGCGGCTCACATTGGTGTTTTGAGAAGCCATTGTATTTTAATAATTTAAATTTAAAATAATATTTTAGGCCAAAAATTCTAGCATAAATCTCTCATAGCATGCCAAGGATTTTTCAGGTTGAGAACAGGCTGCGTCGGCGTTTTTTATAAGCGCAAACATATCATCAAATATATCATATTTGCATACAAGTATTTACAGTAGTACACCGTTTTCACGTATCGTTTAATAAGTGTACGTCGACAAAGCAGTAGAGCACGAGCATCGCTTCTTCTTCAGACTTGTGCACGAGTCACGTCTAGGTTTAGCGCGCGCGAAACCTTTTAAAATTGACATATTACCTACCTATTATTTTTATTTATTTGTACCCTGATTTAAAAGAAACAAACATTAGCTGAAATGTATCTCAATAAACCACTAAAGAACACATCTAGATCATTTAGCTATTGCGGAAAAAGGGGGTGCACATTTTTTAAACTTTTTTGAATGAAACTGAAGACAATAATTTTAGCTACTACTTGCTGCTACAGCTGCTAATTAGGATATTTTTTTCTGACGGTCTGCCTCTGCCATGACCTATTTCAAGTTTATCCATTAACGTATAAAAAATAAATTTATAACAAGTTAAACGTCGTCCTTAAGTATATTGTACGTTTGTACATATTATGTACATATCATCATCATCATTACAGCCCTTCCCAAGTTCACTGCTGAACATAGGCCTCCCCTAAAGAATGCTACAATACACGGTCCTGAGCCACCTGCATCCATCGACTTCCTGCATGTCTTACCAGGTCGTCACTCCATCTAGTGGGGGGACGCCCTACACTTCGTACGCCGGTACGAGGCCGCCACTCGGGAACCTTTCTTCCCCATCGGTTGTCGGTTCTTCGAGCTATATGGCCGGCCCATTGCCACTTCAGCATACTAATCCGTTGGGCTATGTCGGTCATTCTGGTTCTACTGCGGATATCCTCATTTCTAAGTTTATCACGCAGAGATGCTCCGAGCATAGCCCTCTCCATAGCTCGCTGATCAACCTTGAGCTTCCTCATTACATATAACCCATCTAAAATGTTCTGACCTTATTTTGAAGTGCACTCCGCACTATAATACATATAATACAGTTCCGTGGCGTAGTGGCTTAACAATGAGTTGCAGCGTTAAGGGCCGCGGGTTCGAATCCCGCACGGAACAAGTATTTGTATGGCCTATAAATAATTATTCTAGGTCTGGATGTTTGTCCTTGTGAAATCTATGTATGTAAACTGCCCCCGCGATACAGGAGAAAATCCGAGTGCCGGTGGTAATTAAACAAAAGAGTGACTTTCAATAAGTATTATTTATAGTCTATATTGAATAAAAAAGTTTCTGTTTCTGTAACGTTTTTAAAAATCCAAAAAAAAAAAATACTACGTTGTAAGACTTGACCTCGTCTCTGGAGTGTTACAGAGATATTAATATCATGAAATGATATTAATAAACTTTAAAAACGCTGGCAAAACGATAGCCTGACTGTAAAACTTCTCTGTCTTTATAAAAAATCCTTTGACAAAAAAGAAAATTTAATAGTCGCTGTTAGGGTCACACAACAATACAACACAAAGTCTATATTTTGTCTTTACAATTTTTTTTTATTTTTTATTCTGAGTTCTATAGGTGAATCAAACAAACAATATTTACCATCCCAATTTTTGCGGAGAATTTCGTCTATTAATGGTGGAATACAGCCTTTTCAATCCACGACCTGTCAATTTATATTTTAAGAGAATTAAAAATAATTTAACATGGGACTAAGCCGATTTAAATAAGTATCTGTAAAAAGGAAGTTTAGTTATTGGCATTAAACATATATTGCGGTAGATATGTACTCACGATGATGTTCCGCGATTTCTTCGTGGAATAACATATTTATTATTTTCAAAATGTTTCTGGAAATTATGAAAAAAAAAGTTAATGTTAGTTGTTTAATTATCATCTTCGCTGTGTGATGGAGTCGTTAGATAATTATCTCACTCTATGTTGTAGAAAGTGTAAACAATTCCTATTGAAAGACATTTAGAAGGATGTAAAAATTTTTTTTTACCATAAACTATTTTTTTATAGATGATGGAATATCTAATCTCAAAAATGGTTTGATCCCTTGAGTTTTGATGATTATAATTACTTTAGCTACTGCAAATACTGGAAATTTAAAAACTTTCCGAAATTTAATTTATTAAGGACTAACTTATCTTAAGTACTCACTTATCCTCTTCGACGGTCATCAATTCGCTCACGAGAGAGCTTCGCCTCAGAATATTTCTTTTGACTATAATTTTAGAAAAATATTTGTTAATATTTTTATTTTATAAAACAATGTAACATCTTGTACAGGATAAGCGTAAAATATAATACAACATTAACATTTAAATACATTTTACTGTATTTTCATTTAACTTTCTGTCTATAATGACGTCTGGGTAGGAGGAACCCCTCACCTACTTCTGCCGCCAAACATCAGTGCCTTCACTGCTGTATTCTGGTGTGAAAACTTTAGAGAGCCTTACAGGCTGTGAGGTATTTAACCTGGCATCGCATTCTGTAGCCTTTTTGGGGTTTCGTAATTACACAACAAGGAACCCTTATATTTTCGCCATGTCCGTCCGTCCGCGGTTTTTCTTAGAGACCCTAGGTTGCTACAAATCTGTAACTTGGCATAGTTATAGACATATTTTAGATATATTTCTATATATTAAACACACATAGAAAACTGTGATATAAAATTTTAAAAGACAATTTTATTTTGGGTACTTCCCATTCCCATACAAGTAAATGGAGGATGATTTTTTTTACCCGTCTATTCCATTGTCCATTGTGTGGGGTATCATTGGATTGGTCTTTCAAAAGATTGAGGGCGTGGAGAAAAACGTTTTTTCGATTCAAGGGCTCGTTTGCGAAATATTTAGCTTTAAAGTGGTATTTTTCATTAGTCATGTGTCCCCCCCCCCCCTCTACCAACTAAACCACTGTTTTTAGAAATGTGAAAGTATGTACAATAGTAGTATATATAATGAAGTTAAAAGGAAAACTATCACGGCTAAGTAGGATTAAGAAGTTAACGATTAATGACCGACCAACTTATAAAATGCACTTGGATTAGTACAAATTTCGTTACAACTCCATATAAAATGACCTAAAACTAGCTGCATTAATAACTTTGTAATGTTATTGTAAACTGTTAAAAATAAACATTTTATGAAGAAAACGACTTATATGAATTACTACTATTAGCCTATTTTTTTCATTTGTGGGAGAGATAGAAAAGTTTTTTAATCTTTCTTGAAAACCATTCTCTACGAGGGCTGCACTAAAAGTATCGGGAATGGAATATTTCCACTGTTCCTGTCATATTAAAATCTTTTTAATTGAAAATCCCTTGGTTTTAAAAATCGTATACCATTTATTTATTTAAAAAAAGATTCTCGATCTTGTCACAAGGTTTTGTCAAACTTGGTTAGTCGTTGAGAAAAAGGAATTGACTCGAGAAAATTCAAGAGCGATGATTTATTATGACTTTCGAAGTGGTTTAACACAAAAACAGTGTGTTAACCGGATGATTTCTGCATTTGGTGATGAAGCCCCATCCAAAACCACAATTTATCGCTGGTTTGCTGAATTTCAACGTGGACGTGTCAAGCTCAGAGATGATCCCCGTCAAGGTCGTCCAAAAACTGCAGTCACCCAAGAAAACGTTGATGCTGTGCGTAAGCTGATTGAGGAAGATCGACATGTGACATACCGCGAAATTCAGGCAACTTTAGACATTGGCATGAGTAAAATACAAATAATCTTGAATGAACAATTAGGTGTAAAAAAGTTGTTTTCCCGATGGATACCGCATTCGCTCTATGAAGAGCAAAAAGCGCCTCGCGTTACTTGGTGCGTCAGAGCTCTCGAAAGATTCTACGCAGGATCCTCAAATGCTGTATACAACATCGTATTAGGTGACGAATCCTGGATATACGCGTACGAACCCGAAACAAAAAACCAGTCACGAGTTTGGGTGTTCGAAAATGAGTTAAAGCCAACAAAAATTGTTCGTTCACGGAGTGTTGCAAAAAAAAAATGGTGGCCACGTTTGTCTCCAAAACCGGCCATTACGACTATTCCTCTTGAGGGACAAAAAACGGTTAATGCAGAATGGTATGCTAGCATTTGTTTGCCACAGGTCGTTTCTGTACTCCGTAAAGAGAACTGCAACCGCCGCATAGAATTATTAGACCATCCGCCGTACAGCCCCGACCTAAGCCCTAATGATTTCTATACTTTCCCTAAAATAAAGAATAAATTCCGTGGACAGATATTTTCATCACCTGAAGAAGCTGTGGACGCCTACAAAACGGCCATTTTGGAGACCCCAACTTCCGAATGGAATGGTTGCTTCAATTATTGGTTCCATCATATGGAAAAATGTGTCAAATTTTGCGGAGAATACTTCGAAAAGCAATATATACATTTTTAAATAGTAATGTTGTGTCACTTCCTTGATTCCCGAAATTTTCAGTGCCGCCCTCGTATAAGGGTGATTTGAAAATAAGTCCTTCAGTTACGATTTTCTTATTTGGGCTCATTTTTAGTCGTTATAGCGGTCAAACCGCGAACTCATTTATTATGCTCATTATCAAGAAAGCCCACGTATTGTGACGCGCAACTACGGAACCTTACGGTACCCGACACGCACTTGACCAGTTTTTTTTTTGTTTAAAATTGGTTGCAGGCGTATACAGGCTGCAATCAGGTGGACTGTAAGTTGTCACTTTAGATTTTTAAAAATAAAAATAAGTAAACTACAAAAGTTTTACAATACACAAAATACTCACAGCTTTTAAAAGGCAGCTTCACCATGCTCCTTATTCTTCTATCCACCCAATGTCTACAGAAATTCATTGACATTTTATTAAAAAATAGTAACATTAAACTATTTAAGTCCTAAGCTTTTTGAAAAGCTTACTTCATACAACTTCTAAATGAATGTTTGGTGTGTGCGTGGGCCTGTTTCTTCATGAGCGTGTGCGTGTACGATTGCGTGTGCGTGTGCGACTGCGTGTGCGTGTGCGTGGGCTTGTGAAATAAATTATAATACATAGATTTTTATTATTATAATACAAAGAAATAATGATACATATACATAAATAAATTCGGGAAAATATAATTAAACTAAAAGCGATAAAATCTGTAAAATATTTTCAATTAAATGTGTATTTTAATGTTTGATATTCGCTTAAAGAATATTAGGATACTTTTTATAACGCAATGTATTTTGGGATGGTAATAATTACTTACTTTTTCTGCGACGATGATAAAGTAGAGTAAGTGGTCTCCGTCCAGGTTTTATTTCCGTCACCGGAAATATCTGTAATAAAATGACATATTACGTAACGCATATGTATATTTAAAATATACGAAATTAGCAAGAATATTATATTTGTTGAGTGGAATAAGTAGAAATATGTAATTTCACAGGCAGAGAAGGATGCTAACAGCGATAGACTACTCTCGGTTCTATGGGTCACTGGCAGCAAGTTTGTTGCGCACAGTTGTAAACTTTGTTTTAATAGCGGAATACTTGATGATAAGACGTATCGTAATGTACTGAATGCGACCTAGAAGAGTTAAGAGTTGAATCCGTCTATTGACCTCCATAGTTAAAGTTGAATTTATTCGGACTATTTGTCCTATTTTTTTTTATAGGATAAGGGTGACAAACGAGCACACAGTCCACCAGATGGTAAGTGGTTGCTGCGGCCCATAGACATCTACATCTATCCTCGTTTGCGAATCAAAATGCAGATGCGTTGCCACCTGTGACGACTAAGATGGAATGCCTCATTTCCAGTAAAAAGGGCCTCCGGCCACCTGCACTCACCAAGCGAAACGTAGAGGTAAACCTCTACTTCACGCTGGTATTGTATTTCGTGTATTGTATTGTATATTGTGTATTGTATATTGTATATTGTGGTTCGAGCCGGCCCATCCGTGCGACAGTAAAAGCTGTCGCGTGGCTCTACCACTGTTGAAAATGTAACTATCCTAGGTAAATATATTCGTTAACTTTGAGCGTTGTCTTTCTAATATCTTCCAGAATACGTGTCAGTGTACCAGAGATCTTCATCGGTTTGTCCATATTCATCTTAAGACCTATCTTTTTGGAGAGACTATATAAGCGATTGAGCAGTGTTAATGTCTTCCAGCGATTCAGCCGTAACGTCTCATTATCCATACAGTCTATCAAATGTCCACTGTTGGACATAGCCCTCCTCCAAAGATTGCTTCATATATTCGGATATTTGCTGTAGTTCCTAAGCTTAACAGGCGAGTTGGCAACCACAGTTGTTATCAGGAAAGTACTGTTGTCTTTTTTTATAGGATAGGGTGATAAACGAGCACACAGTTCACCTGATGGTAAGTGGTTGCTGTGACCCATATACATCTACATCATCTTCGTTTGCGAATTATAATGCAGATGCGTTGTCACCCGTGAGGACTAAAATGGAATGCCTCTTTTCCAGTAAAAAGGGTCTCCGGTTCTCTACACTCACCATACGAAACACAGCAGTGTTAAGCTGCCGTTTCACGCTGGTATTCTGTGAGAGCGTGTTCCTTCCCCGGTTGAGCCGACCTGTCTATCTCTTGTTTCAGCTTCCCTATGTCGCCTCTTACAACACCCACTGGATGTCTTGGGGTAGAAAGCTAGATGATTTTTTACATCAAATAATATTAATTCTTAAAACAATTATGTTATTTTTTTTACAATTAATTTTGCTACTTACTATTATATATACTATACAGGAAGTATCATGTACTATTAATTCCCTATTATGTGCTATTACACAATTAAGAAACTGTCAAGTATCTACCTGAGTCAAGTGTGGACACGTTTGAGACCGGTGTCTTTGTTAGGCTAGGTCTGAAAAATTTTTAATCATTTATTATTTTAATTTTTAGGTAATATTGCTTAAGTACTGTTAGAGAATCATCATTATCATCATTATTACAGCCCATCACAGCTCTACTACTGATCATAGGCCTCCTCCATAGATTGTATATGGACCTACACGTTTCATCTGGTCATCACTCCATGTGGGAAGTCACCCAACCCTGCGCTTGCTTGTTATGATCCGGTGACCCCGTGACAATGGGTGCTGTAAAGCACCCGAAACGATAGGAATTAAAAATAGGTTAATTAAACGCGATAAAATCCGTAAAATTAGTTTTATTCAATGTATTACGAGTATTCGTATAAATTTAAGAAATCGTTATTTTCTTCCTCGCACAACTTCCTTGTGGAATCGATGACCACCAGCGATTTTTCCGGACCGATACAACTAGGGATATTCAAGAAAAGAGCCTACTCCTTTTTAAAAGGCCGGCAACGCATCTGCAATTTCCCTGGTGTTGCAATTGTTCATGGTCGGCGGTAGTCACTTACCATCAGGTGAGCCGCATGCTCGTTTGCCCCGTCGCCTAAAAAAAATTGTTACTCTTTTCCTGTTGGTTAAAGAATACGTACATAAAGATGCATTATAGTTTCCATCCATTTCTATCTCTACTTACGGGGCATTTGCCAATATTTGACCACTGCGAGAGTTATGTTGCTGTGGCATTGTTTAACTTCTTTTTTATTCAAAATTAAAACAGAAATATTGTTCTAATAATTTCGATAATATTGCGAATGTGTTTAAAACTGATAACCGGAATGGACGATAAGGGAACTGAACATTTGTATTTTAAATTAAAAATTAATAGTGATTCGATTTAAAAAAAAATATTTGCATATTTTATATTTCTACATACTTGTTTAAACCGTATTCGACCCTTATTTCAAAGTTTGTCAAAAGATAAGTTTCATTTATCCAAAACCTTCCGTGTGAAATAAGGTTTAGAAAATAATAAAATATACACTTACACAGATTTGACTTTATCGAGATTGGAATATGATTTTTTTCGCAGAGCCATGTTAGCGATTTCTGTCGATGCACCTAGTTCTAAAATAATTTATATTATAGATTATATATTAAAAAATCATATTATATATATTCAAAATGGAAAAAGAAATTTCTTTAGCTTACCTGCGATTCTCATATCGCTGAAATAGTTATGTTTCTGAAATAAAATAAAATTTGATTAAAATTCTTAGTTGAGGGGGCAAGACAAGATACTCGCTGGTAAAATTGCTTTTCTAACTGTGAGTCTGGGTAGATACCACCTTTTTATATATTTCCGTGTTCCAGTCAAAAAGGTATAGGGAGCCTACAATTACAGGTTATGAAGATGGGATGGACAAAAAATGTCAACAATTATTGCTGCCTTTCTTATTTAAATTAGGTTGCAGTTGTCCATGCACTACAGTAGCCACTTACCATTAAGTATACTGCAAGTTCGTTTGTCACTTCAGTTTTATTAAAACAGATTGAGACGGATAGTATAAATACATTAGTAAACGAAAAGGTCAGTAGTGAACTATTAACGGGAATATGAGGAAGAGAAGTAAACGGTTCTTCGATTTTCTATTCTGCAAAACCATTGGTACTTATTTGCCGTTAAAACTACGCTTTTCAGGCGGGTGGGTGATCGCTGTACCTGATGTCGTAACTTTGACGTTGCTCCTTGTCACAGGTCTGGATATAATAGGAAATTCTATCCAAATTTGCAAGGATCCACCACTTCGAAGTGTTGACTACACTCTTATTTATGGTGTTGACTCCGGTGGTCCATATCTCTTGTGACAACCATGATATTTGACGAGCCATGTAAAAATTAAAAACACCCACCAAATGTATACAACCCTAAAAACGTGTATTATTGAAGGGCAATTCCTGGAAATGAGTAGGTATGTGATAACAGTTCCTACTTCCTAGCAAAACCTAGTCTAATAAATTGTAACCTAAGAGAATGCTTTAAAAAGTGAGCAAATGTGAGTTCCTGTAAAATACGTACTGATTTTTTAGCGCGTTTGGACTGTGACCTTGGAGATGATGCGAGTTCTTGACTACTGCAAGGTACAAATAATGATTATTATCTGAAAACACACTCTAAAATAATATATAATAGTTGTGCTTAAATTAGTGAACAACTTGACCAATTGAGGTCATATTCACATTACACTAAGTGTATAATATATATCAAGTCTTGATATATAGTTGTATATGTAGTAACACTTACTTATAAGAGGCTGGTATTGGACGTTCGATCCTTTTCAATATTTCCTGTGTGACTTCTGTAGACATTCCCGTATCTGAAATGATGTATAACATGTAAAAATTAAAGTTCATTTCTAGAGTTGACTATAAGATTATACTAATTTACATAACATAATATACAATATTTTATTATATACAATATTAAAAACTATAATAATAATAAAAAAAAACTAAAACTAGAAACTTAATTATATTACTAAATTAAACTAATACTGATACTTATAGGTACTATACTTAATTATACTAATTGCCATAAAAATTGTTTACCTGAACTGCACTTACTGTGCACAGAATTCTGAAACAAGCAGAGTATGTATTATTTAAGAAAACTAATGTTTTTTGCCATATTTGTATTGGTATGACGTTCCGAAAACAATGATTACATGAATACGGGCATGCACGAGTACCCGCGCACGCATGCACATGCACGCACAAACACCCAAACGCACATATGCACGTACGCCCGCTTACAAGCACGCACGAACGCCCGCTCGCACGCACGCCTTTCATTATTGTTTTTATTGTGTTTGTTAACAATGAAATAGCATAAACGAGTATAAGCGTTGTCTATATTTGTTATAGAAAAAATGTGCTGGCAATGAAAATTTCAATTATAGAAAACACAGTTCATATAAGGAGATTCGTAACCAGAGCTCGGAAACGTTATTAAAAGTAACGTTTTTAAAACGTTTGGGACACTTCCTTGTATAACATTTTGTTCAGAACAAAAACGAAATGAGAACGTATTGTGAAAACATAAAAAACGGTTTATTCCGCAGGAAGCTAAATGAATGGCACGTGCCACGACAAGTCAAACAAGACAAGACAAAAAAAATACCTATAAGGTATTTTTGTTTCGTATTGCAAGGCCAAAATGTGAAAAAACGGCTTAAAATGGTTAAAAACGTTTTATTGAACAAGAACGATTTAAAATTTCGTTCTCTTCATAAACGTTTTTATTATGATTCCGTTCGAAAATAAACGAAACAAATACGTTTTTAGGCATTGAGTTATACAAGAGTGTAATATATAAATCGAAAACGTTTAAAAAAATATACCGTTATCCGAGCCCTGTTCTTAACATATTGCAGTTTAGATCCCAAAGCTCGTTCGTGTTGGAAGGAATGTTTTGTGTTGGGTATTATATAGGGATGTTGCGAATGCAGAGTTTTTTTTTACATTCGCGGACAGGAATGATGATAAACTTTTCTAGGCTTACATGCACAGATGCGGATGCGGTCTCAAGTTTTTTTAAGATATAGTTAGTTTACATACATAATATGTAAATGAAAGCGATAATATTTTTTCATTTTTTAAACATTTATGCATTGTAGCCGAAGTACCATACACGCGCACGACGCGATCACGCGCTGGACCCGACCCAGTTAATTCTTGTGGCATCTTGTACGATATCCGCATCCGCAAAAGCTTTGCATTGATGCAGATGACTAAATCATTGCAGAAGTTCCATGAGTGCGTTTGCATATGCAAATATCCGCAACATTCTGTACCGCACATGTTTGGCTTGGCGCTTAAAATGCTTTCTGATGATCCGTCAAACTTAAATCTCCTTGGAGACTAAATTTGGCACCGTGTGTTTTCTTTTTATCCTCTAAACTCTAAAGCCTAAAATAAAAATCAACGCAGCAAATGCGAAAATTAAGACGAATTGTTAATTAGATTTCGAACCAAGCTATTGTATTGGAAACACCAATTGTAATACAATTAATAGCTTTCAGTGCTTATTTATTATGAGCTCGTTGGATGAGGAAAATACAGGACAAAATGTATGTTTGAATAATCAAATATATAGTACAGCAAATATATAGTAGAGTACAGCGTTAAAAACCTAATTCATTCATGTTTTGAGTTATCATATTGGAACTTACCTCTTTATGTTTTCTTTTTCAGTGTTCGTTAGCATGTTTGAATAATCAAATATATAGTACAGCAAATATATAGTAGAGTACAGCGTTAAAAACCTAATTCATTCATGTTTTGAGTTATCACATTGGAACTTACCTCTTTATGTTTTCTTTTTCAGTGTTCGTTAGCATGTTTGAATAATCAAATATATAGTACAGCAAATATATAGTAGAGTACAGCGTTAAAAACCTAATTCATTCATGTTTTGAGTTATCATATTGGAACTTACCTCTTTATGTTTTCTTTTTCTTTGTTCGTTAGCATGACTAGACAGAACGAGCGGCCTGGTAAGAAATAAATACAATTAAAAAATAAAATTAAATAAGGTGTATAGAAGTTTAAATCTTCTATTATAAACATTAACCCTTGATATTTGAAAATACAATAATTTTCTTAATAAATATACAGAATTATTATTTTAATAGACATTATTGTAACTGAAACAATGATGTGATAGCTCCGTGACCACGGTGGTAGCTCAGGGGAAAAGTGTTCGTCGCATTAATATAAAAATAATCGATCCCATAAACTAATGAGAAATTGATCGATCCCCATCGGCACCAATAAAACATTTATTTGAAACTTGCATTTTCAACAAATTAAATAAATACATTTCTAGTTTATGTGAAGTCCAAGATGCTTAGGGCAGCTCGCCGTATTTCTCCCAACCTTAAAACCCGCCAAGAATTGAGTGACTAGTGCGAAATAGTGGGACGTATGCGGGCTGTTGCTATGCTCTATTGTTTTAAAGACGGGTTTTTTTTTCTTTTCCACTCTTTCTGAATCCACTCCTGGATGATCTTTAATTTGTTATACTCATTACGGTGCACGGGTAGTGTTCGTACATTCGCAAGGTGTTTCCCGTTTCAGAAAGCTGAAACTGAACTGAAACTGTTTTCCTTCTCTATCCCATGTTATTTAAGTTCAGCATTTTCGAAAAGGATGACCGCCATTTATCGCTCGCCACCCAAATAGCACAAAAGCGGTATAACAAAGCGCTACAGTAGCCACTTAACAGGTATATGTAATTGCTTTTTTTTTATAGGAGAGGGGGCAAACGAGCATGTGGCTCACCTGATTGTAAGCGACTACCGCCGCCCATGAACAACTGCAACACCAGGGAGGGAATTGCAAATGCGTTGCCGGCGTTTTAAAAAGGAGTACGCTCTTTTCTTGAAGGTCCCTAAGTCGTATCGGTCCGGAAAAATCGCTGATGGTAATCGATGCCACAAGGAAGTCGTGCGAGGAAGAAAACATCTTCTAAATCGCACAGTGGTGGACCGCCAATCATCCAGATGGTGTGGATGGTATCGGGAGTTCTGCCGCGATGTGCGTTCGTGAAATTTGGCGGCTGGGATTAATCCGAACAATTCCTCTTTACTTCCTTATGTAAGTGCTACTGTAGCGATACAGAACTTCTCAATCGCTTCTATACCACTGAAAAGGGGGCCCACTTTATACGGACTTCAGTGTTATAGCAGTGGTACAATAGTGGCATGGTGAGTTTGTAAAGCGATACAAAGGTGCGTGAATTGTGATTTTTGAAGCTAAATGATATACAATAAGTTCTTATGCCACCTTTACATAATTTGCACATGATTTCGACGCGACTGTGATTTGTAACTAAATGTTAAAGCATTTTAAAGGTATTTTTAGATGCTATACCTATATTATAATTATTATAAAAATTAGTGAAAGAATATAAATGACAAATATTATCTCAAATTGATCGTGATCATTATACTTGATTTAATTTCACTGGTTTACGTAGTATCAGTTTTCTGCCAAAATATGCATTGATAAAGCCAAATTTTTCACGCGCTCGCGAAACATGTAGACTTTGCAGTTATTTATCCTACTCAAGTGCATTAAAATTTAAAGGTTAATTTTCAGTTTCTTTACGATTGATTTATTAGAACTTGTGGTCAATTTATGAATGCATGAAATTCAAAAGACTTTATTTATAGTGAAAAGTATACTCTCTAACATAAGAAAAATGATTGTTTTATTAACATACATAATTCATCAAATACTGACATGTAATGGCAACTTTTTAAAAAACCTTAGACGTCTACTACTATATCCATTATAACGATTTCAGAATTGTACAGCGATAGTGATAATTAATATAAATATAAAACATCCAGCCAACAAACGGCCGTATAAAGCACACAACTACATATATATTTTCGCGTTATACTTCACAAATATACCGCTTTTGGTGCTTCCGTTGGGCTATAATTCTCCAGTACGGTAAAAGTGGTTTTAAGATTCTCATAGATCTATTGTGAAGGTATAGACTACATAGTACTACTTAATATTATCTTGAGTGTTATATACAATATTTATAACTTAGTTGAATATAAATATAATAATAATAAAATATTTATAACTTAGTTGAAGCGCTTTTGGCTTCCTTATCCCTCATTTAGGTCTCATAGTGTTAATAATTTTAAAGATTTTAAAGAGATATAAGAATCTGTTATATTATATATGTACAGGTTAAGAAAGATTCTAACTTCCTTAAACAGCTGTTATAAAGCAAGAGAGCGATACAGTGTCTGCTTATATTGCTAGTGTGCTACTTGGGGCAGTCTTGTGGCCACGTGACCTTCTCATTTTAAGAACAATTTTCTTACCTCTGTTATTGTTTACTATCACAAATTCACAAAGTAACATTCTTTATTTTTTAAAAGATCCCCACAGTCCCTACATACCCTTACCTTTCATTTATTTTTAAAATATGTTTTGATGAAGCGTTGCTAGAGATCGATGCAACTATTTTCGCCAGTTCAATGAGGTCATGTCCTAGGTATGCGTCGGATGTTAGATCTGAGCTGAGCTTTTTCTTGTTTCTATATTTTTGTTTCGATAATTTGTTGTGACTAGGTCCGTGAGATAGTGAATTATTATGGAAGATTCTGTTAGAACAACTTGAGCAGATAATGATGCCTTGAAACACTTCTGAATCTTGTAAGTTTGTTTCACTACATAAATCTGAAACACAAATTAAAGTTACTGATATTAAGTTTCGTTTATAGCAATAGTGAATTTTTAAGTATCGAAGTAAAGGTAGTGTGAAAGAAAAGAAAAAGAAAGAAACTTTATTTATTGCTGGGGTACACAAATATTTTAGGCTATTAAAAGAAGAAAAAAAGTTTCAATATGAATAATAACGATTTTCTTACATTATCAAAATAAATTATAACAAAAAAAAGAAAAAACAGTCAATTAACTCAGTAACCGAGCATAAAGGAAGTCTGAAATATCGATTTATTATAATATTAATAATTCTTTTTTACGGCAGTTAAATAAAGTTTTTGTATATTTGGATGCCAGTGTAAGATTGTAATTTTGTACTAACAGCATTTTTGGCATTTTCTATGATAACTGTAACCGTTGCGTAATATTCGTTCGTTGATGTAAACGGGATCCGCGCAGTGCTCGCACCTGTTAAATATCATACAAAAGTCTAAGATTAAAATAATATGCTTGTAAGTAAGTTCGCTTCTTCCGTGTTAAGATAAACGTGGGCTCAAGATAATCTGGGAATATCTAGGATGTTTGCCACTAGACGGGCGGGTTGATAACCGACTTCTTTTAATATTCCTGCTGCCCACCTCCTGTTTCGGTTTTTCTCTATCGCCTCCTAATGCCCAAATACTCAAACGCTACTCAACTTCATGATGCCGAAGTCTCGTGCTGTCTCTATCACTTTAAGTCAAAGTGACTGTGACACCACGAGACTTAACTACATCTTAAAATAGAAAGCGTTTGGGTATTTGGCCATAAGAAGCCTGTAGGATGACTTAGAGTAGTAGATAGAAGGCAATATATGTGGGAGGTCTGTTTTCAGCAGAATTTTTTTAATAGGCTGTAACGAATGAGCTACTTGATTTTGTAGTAAGTAGTCCTTGCTAACAATTTTGTTCTTTGTACTTATTTATTTATATATGGACCTCCGACGTAAGAAAAGTAATATTATCTTTATAAAACTAGAGTAAGAAATTAAAGGTAGGTATGACGCTCCTTTAATTATAGGAACCACAACATTCAATAAGCAAGGCTGAGTAATAATAGCAACAATATCATTAGAACATAATATTATTACGTGCCTTAAAACAACAGCTATAAAATAGGTTCAAATTAAAATAAAAAGCTAAATCAATAATTATAACTTTTAACAAAAACTAAAAACCGACTTCAAATTGCTAGAAGAGAATTTATTTATTTGCTACCTAGGGGGGCAATTTTTTCTCCAAATTTATATGGGACTATCCTTGAAGTATTTATTTAACCTATTTAATAAAAAAAGAATCATTCAAATCGGTTCTCAATCTGCGAAGATATCATATGAAATTCCATAAACAATAGTCCAATTTCATAGTCTCGTATGAAACTTTTTCCTCTATTTTTCACCCATGGGTGCGGAATTTTTCCTCAATATTTAATGGGACCCCTTGAGGTAAAGCCAATTTATTAAATGAGAATGACTATAATCGTGTCATAATCTGCAAGATATCTTGCGTAACATACATACAAAAAAATGTACAATCGAATTGATTACCTCCTCCTTTTTTAAGTTGGTTAAAAAATAATGAATATGCGTGAAGATATTTGGAATTTTAATTAGAAAAGCAGAAATAGATATAAAAATTTTTGAGATTGAAATGATCTTATTTAAACAGTGACCCGTTAATGGCACGTTTTGTTATAAATTTTAATTTAGTAGCTAGGGAGGCCAATTCAATCCAAAAAGCTTTTTACCATTCACACACGGTCTCGTGAGTTCTTAATTGCTAAATCAAATACTTACTTATTATTTCCAATGGATTATTCAATTAACTAAATATAAAAATATTAATGAAACATTACAAACTAGAACCTCTAACAAACAAAAGTTATGCAGTGTTACGCAGAAGTTGTGTATCGCCAGCAACGCAGTCAGGAATTTGCATTTAGAAAAACCCAAAATTTTTTCTTTTCAGGTGCTAACTATGTGCCAAGTTTAAAAATTAGGTGCTCTAAAATTTTCACCGCAACGAACTGTTGAAATTTGCGTTAGCAAAACGTAGTACGAGTATACGATAAATATTAATAGCAAGGAATTAAGTGCTGGCAAGGCGCCCCTAATAAAAATAAAATCGTTATTCAGATCAAGGCAAATGTAAAATTCAGGTCTTCTTCTGAAAATGGTAAAGCTGTAGACACCCTGTACTTGTGTGCGGGGATGAAAAAGGTTTGGGAGGGGCGGATGGGAGGAGGGGTAGGGTTCTGAGGAAGCCCCCCTACCCCCTTCACCCCTTGCGGAAATGTATAGTTTGAGTAATATTTTTTTTGTAAAATCATAACCTCACTTTTTTACACAGGAATATTGACATAGTTACTTACTTCTGCAACGGCTTCGTTGCGGGGAGTGCAGCCCCTTCACCCATGCGTAGCAAATCACAGGCACCCATAGCCACTGCGGGCGGGGACTGCTCTCCCTCCGCGCCTACGGCTTAACAAAAACACTCTAGGGGTAGGGCAGATACGACTTCGTGGAGTCGGGGCGTTCTGATTCGGTTTTAGTACAGATTCGACCTATTTTATCTATAATATATAACTGATAAAGAACAAACAATGCCGTTCATACCTTATAGTAAGGTAATGGTGGTCCTGGACCCAATAATTCCCAAAATATTACCGTCATCTACATCCTACCTCAATAATCTTTCAGCACTTAATTCCTGGCTATTAATATTTATCGTAATATCTATTATCGTCACTGCCGTTACTAGCGATACGTTTTGCGAGCAACAGTTCGTTGTGGTGAAAATTTTAGAGCAACTAATTTTTAAACTTGGTACCTAATTAGCACCTAAAAAGCCCCTAATTTAGGGTTTTTCTAAATGCAAATTACTGACTTTGCGTTGCTGGCGAGACACTTAAATTTCAAATTAAATATATTTATTTCACAATATTCATATTAATATGCTTTCTTTTTTAGATAGCAAGAAAAGTCCTGGGTGACATTGTTTCTTATTAAAATTAATGCAAGACTGAGGTTCGCTATATTAGATCACATTATAAAGTATTTAAATATGACTATCATCCTAAGTACTATCTCTATCTACTTCTAAAAGGAAACGTCTTCGCTCTACAGTAGAAGGGCTAGCACCAAGAAAGCGTATTAAAACTTACGCCATATTGAAATCTTTCTTTTTTGGATTTTTACATTTTTAATGAAATTAACTATTTATGATTAAATATTTTTCATTTTACATTTCTGGTTTTTTCTTTTATTTTTAAATTGCGTCAAAAATTAACCATAGATTCATAGATTATAATATACACAGACTAACTGTAGATTCATTATATATATTTTTGTTTATTGCTAATACTCATAGTTTTCTAATAATCCAAAGAATTATTTATTGCATAAAAAAGTACTCTGTGATTATTTATCTCTGATCATATGAGGTCTTTGGTCTTTACTTATGAAATATTCGTTTTTTATGAAATAAGTTATTTTTAGGGTTCCATACCTCAAAAGGAAAAAACGGAACCCTTATAGGATCACTTTTTCGTCCGTCTGTTTGTCTGTCAAGACCCTTTTTCTCATATCAAAGACTCAAGTCTACTGTCCCTTAGAGCTGTGAAAAAATCAAACTTCTAAGCCAACGCAATCAAAAGATACAGTCATTTATGCCGTAAATTTTCGACGTTCGCAAGGGAATCAAAATCTACAGGGCACTTCCCGTGAACTCAGAATCTTGAAATTTGGTACGAAGCAACGCTTTATAACACAGATAAAGGAAAAATTGCGAAAAGCATAAATTTTTAGTTACATAATATAATTAAATATTTTTAACAATTTTAAACATACAGATTTGTTCGGAACCCTCGGTGCGCGAGTCCGACTCGCACTTTGCCGATTTTTATTTTCTATATTTTTTATTTCTATTAATCGAAGTAATCACCCATGCAATCGACGCATGTTTGCCAACGCAGTGGCAGGATATTGATGCCCTTGTTGAAGAAATCGGCTGGACGGGAAACAACAAATTCTTCAAAAGCATTTTGTACTGCCCCTCGGGTATTAAATATTTTCCCTCCAAAAAGTTATCCAAATTCTGGAAAAGTAGAAGTCTGTAGACGCAAGGTACGGTGAGTACGGTGGATGACGGAGAGCTTCCAATCCCAGCTCTTGTATGTACCAAAACACAATTTAATGCATTAATTTTAAGTAGTTTACAATCTATCAATTTCATACAGTCAAATAGTGAACGAGCCTACCCATGCCGATTCACAAACTGTCCGATTTAATCACCCGTAAAATTGTGAACTGTCCCTGATTCCGAGTCCATAGAATTAGGAAATAAACATTAGAGCCGAATAAAAGAAATGTCAATTAATTAAATGTGCATTTCCTTTATTAGACTCATAACGAGATAGAGAGAATCATACGGTAACAAATACATACGAGTATAGTAAAGAAACCAAACTAACACACATCGATCACAAGTTGTGCTGATCTTAGGGAGAATACTAACTAGATTATAATCAAGAAATTATTGTATTGTTATCGATTCGTTATTTGTCTACAAAGTTTCAGATCATTCAGACGTCCGGAAGTGCGTGACGGAATTTTGCGTGGTAGAGCCATGTTGCAGCTATATTAGTAACTAATATAGTTGTAGCACGAATGGGTCGGCCCGACCGAGGAAGGAACACACTCTCACAGAATACCAGCGTAAAATAGCATAACGCTGCTGTGTTTCGTGTGGTGAGTGTAGAGAACCGGAGACCCTTTTTTACTGGAAACGAGGCATTCCATCTTAGTCCTCACGGGTGACAACGCATCTGCATTTTGATTCGTAATCGAGGATAGTTGTAGATGTTTATGGGCCACAGCAACCACTTACCAAATTGCACAAGGACAAACATCCAGACCCGGAACAATTATTCTTAGGCCATACAAATACTTGTTCCGTGCGGGATTCGAAACCGCGGCCCCAGCGCAGCAACTCTTTGCTAAGCCACTGCGTCACGGAGCCGTCAAAATAACTGAGGATATTAGAGAAGCCATGGAAAACAAGAAAGTTACAGTTGTGGTGCTCATTGGCTTTTGTAACGCTTTTAACACAGTTGACCAAGTGATATCTTTCTTGCTATCCTTTCCCACCTGAAGTTTGCACCGTCAGTTTTGGAGTGGTGCATCTTATCTTCGCTGACGTCAGGAGTCTTCCACGTGGAGCAAATGACTTCACAGTGGATTGACCTTGTTTCTGGCGTACCTCAAGGTGGTATATTTTGCCCGTTAATCTTCTCTGTTTTTATTTTTTTTTTAATTTTATTTTAAAACGTTACCCCCACACTAGGATTTTCTCCTGTATTGTGAAGGCAGTTTACAAACACAAATTGCACAAGGACAAACATCCAGACCCGGAACAATTATTTATAGGCCATACAAATACTTGCT